CCGGTGCGAAAGTTCGAAGATGCCGCGGTTGATGATGACGGTGTAGCACCGCGGTTCCAGCCACCTTTGTGGGATCCTTTCGGAGATCCCTTGGTAGCAATCAGCACCAGTCTCTGCATCTCGGGCGAGATGCGTGCTCTGTCCAAGAGCCGGTTTCTCTTGGCGTCGCCATCGTACATGGCGCTCTCTCACATCTGCCGTAGCGATTCACGAAGCCCCGCGTCGTCTCTCCCTGCTGGCGCACTATGGACTCGAAGTCCGCCAACAGCTTCCTCTTCTGGTGGATGGCCTTGCTCTGCAAACCCTTGGTCAAGGCCTCGATGATGTAGTCGATGCCGTTCGAGGAGTTGACCTTGTCCAAGTCCGAGTACTCGGCCTCCTCTTCCGCCTCTCCCTGCGTAATGTGTAGAGCATCATTCGTTGCGCGGCATGAAGGAAGCGATCTGGAGCTTCCACAGTTCCACCTTGCGAAGCCACTTATGGCCTCCCAGGAATAGCGCCACTGACGTGGTAGAGGAGCTTGCAATTGTATCTGAAGTGGATGTTCTTGGCGGGTCCCATCCGCGAGTCCCATGGAGAGGAAGAAGTAACCTCTTACTGGTCGTATCCGGTTCACGTGATTGGGCTCGATTTGGCTGACCGTGTCCTCGTGCTCTGCCTCTGCGCCGCCGTCTTCTTCTTTGCGGGCCGGCAGGTTGAAGGGGTCCACGATCGGGTCGTTGGTGGGCACCTCGGACTCCGCGGCTTACGACGGAACACTACCATCAGGTGGTCCCGGGGCACGATGTCCTGGCGTCCTCCGAAGTCCTGGGGACATACATCCAAATGCCACGCTGCATCTCCCTCCGCTGCGCCACATCAGCTCTGTAGTACTCCGTGCCCAGGCAAGTGGCGGAGTGCCATCCGGGACCATATTGATCTTGAACGATCTCCTTGGGTCACAGCGCCACCAGCGCCAGTCAACGGCAGGTGCCGGATCTGGCTGCCGAGCTCGGGGGCCCTGAATCTCGAAGGCTCCATGAGACAGGTCCCGACGAGGTCCGCATCGTCATCCCAGAGGTCGCCGAAGGGCAGGTCCTGGGAGAGACCATCCTCATGCAAAGCGGCCATGGCTGGATGCCCGATATTCGGGCTCCGCTACCAACACACAAACCCCCATGCGGCTGGGGATTCGGAAGTGCGCTCCCTTTTACGCTAAAAACAAAATCCTGGCTCGGGCGCCAAGGTGTCGCGGCGAGGTGAGATGCAAAGGCCTGATGCGTGTGCAGGGCCCAAATTCACAGCTGGTGCTCTGTAGGGAATGTGTCGCTTAAAGGAAGCCACAGGGATGGTTTATAGGTGTCACTCCCTCATTCCCCAACTGAGCACCAGCAAGATAAAGCGAATTAACATTGCTGTCAACCAGTAGTTTGGTTGATCTTGCGCAAACTTTCCGGCAATGCTTGGACTCTAGCCTGATGGACCGTGTGTGGGCTCGGATCTGGTGACGCCGTCCAGTGTAGATCCGAATAACCACCAAAGCAAAGCCTCAGCCAAGGAACTTTGGATGAATAGGTGAGAGGTTTCCGATTCCACCCTTTCTTCTCGCTACATTCAGTTCAAGATGAGGCCTTCCTTTCGGAAAAAAAAAGAAAGAAGAAACAGCTCCAGGCGAAACGGAAACTGTTCCTCATGGCCTCGCACACTCAAAAGAAGCTGATGGTTGGCAGAGAGGGTTCAGTTGCGCCTGAGTGACCCAAGAAATCAAAGGTGACCACCTTTTACGGCCATGACTGACAACGGACCAACAAGGGGAAACCCAAAGGTCAAAATGATGGCTTTGTGCAAGTGAGTGACTGTTAACGGCTCAGATCCTTGCCACATGCAAGCAGGCTTGGAATGGCTTCTGGACAGTTAAATGCGTTGCCTCACCGGTTCTTTTGGACTGACACCTCTTTGGATCATACGTACCCCGCGAAATGACATTTGTTTCCACGATTGGGAGGTAATGTTGACCCCGGATGAATAAACCCCTGTTCATCAATCTGGGTGTGTTGCCCTCCAGAAGTGGTAAACCCCCACGAAAACTAGGGAACCACCCCCCTGTGAAACTAAACAGGGGTTTATTCATCCGGGGTCAACCTTGCAGCCTTCATATCGCCATGGGTCAAAACCCCGTACCCCAGTGAACCTCCCAATCCCACTAAAATAGGAAGCCTAAAGTCGGTGGCGCACCGACCCCAAAATGGTACCATGCAATGGCCATCTCGTGGGCCAGGGGCCTGCCCCGAACTCCGCCTGGGCGACGCTTCGAAGGTGAGTTTCTGCAGGTGCGCCGGAGTCCTGTACCAGCGTCCTGGAACTCCGGCAAAACCCACAGGCGAAACTTCAAGGGAGTCAACAAATGCTCATGGGTCGAAATCCAAAGCGGTTAGCCCCCGGTGAACATCAACCAAACCAACCACTCAAATAGGTTCTAAAATGGTTGGTGCACGTGCCCCAAAATGGGATCCTATTGGTTTTGACCCACAGCCAAATGTCAAAACCGGTCGGTACTAAATGGATTGCATGGAAACTGACATAGAACATCATGCCCACAATGGGGGGGGTCTCCTTAGCAGGAATTTCTGCCACAAACGAGTCATAATCAAAGTGCGGTGTTAAAATGGCGGTATTCCCAAACCCATGTAAAGAATTGAAAAGGCGGCCACACGCATTTATGGCGATTGTCCCTCACCCAAGTGATTCACATGTTTGATGCCTAAAGCCAGCACAAACCTCGATCCCCAAACCAAATCCCAAGGATTCCTCAAATCAATCCCACCAACAAATCCCAACACACCCCTCCAACTCAAGCCCCCCCTCCTTGAACTCTTGAGCAGGCCACGGGTTGTGACTCTTGCTCTTGCCACCCGCTGCAGCTTGTTGTCCAGCCCTGAACAAAGGACAATGTACTCGCCTCAGACCCCACGCCCTACAAGCAATGAACCTTTGAAGCACCGACACACCAGAAGCCCCAGTTGTATCTTGATCTGACCTGACATTTGTGTGCTTTGAGCAACAGTTTTGGGCCACTGCCAGCCAAACGTCCAAACAAGTCACCAGGAAAGCCTCGACACATCGAACCAACTTCTGCCGAGCATCGGTCGATTGAGCAAACCGCCTTTTGCCATTGAAGCCAAAGCAAACCCCAAAATGTCCTGGCAGCAAGCACCAAGCCCGAGCTCGCCACATCAAGTCGGTGGATGAAGCCAAAGCCAAAGGCAGGATCATGAAGCAAAGGGTTGTCCTGCAAGCTGTGGTCAAAATGCCCTCTTTGGATCCTTCACTAAATTATTGCCTGCCGGGGCTTTGGGCTCTGCTCACGAATTGTTGTATAAGGGCACAAGCTTGACTCCCATTTTTGCCATAATTGAATGTGCAGCCAGCCATCCTATCTGCAAGCCTGACACTGTCCTCCATAGGCAGCTGATGCTGCAAAAATGCCGACATACACAGCGCTTCGCTTTGTTCCGACGTATCCACCTCCCAGCCGGGCGGCTTTAATGCCACCAGAATTCCAGGGACTGTGGCAAGAATTTGTGGAGAAGGACCCTCATCTGCAACAGCTTTCGCCCACCTTCAGGGCAGTATCAGGAGCGGGCCCAAACTCCACGCCGAAGCCGAGGCTTGAAGCTGTGGCATCGAGTCAGAATCAATGGCGAGCATGTGGCACAAGACAAATCATGGGCGGGTATCGAAGCAACGGCATATTCGATCATGGTGAGTTCCGGTATTACACAACTGACCTGGCTATTCACTCATCATGTCTGCTATAGCCCCGATTTGTCAACGTTCAGAAGCTCAAAGGCACCGATGATCCCAAAGCCACGCAACATTTGGGATGTCTCTTTTGTTCGCGGGTGCCCTTTTTGGGATGGCGTTTTTCATTGGACACCAAATGGACCACCGAAGCCATTTTTGGAGTGTTAAAAAAAAGCTGGAATTCGTCCCGTCCAGTCACCTCGAAGGCGGAGGTTGTGGAGTTTCCAGTCTTTGCAGGCGGCTGCGGAGTGCTACTGCCACTTGATCGTCCAAGGCTTTGAGGAAACTCAATGCCCAGGTCAAGGACAGGAGGCTGCACAGTTCGCCGTGAGATGAACCCGCATTGTGGACCTCAAAGGGAAACACAGGGACCCAGATTTGGGCCCATGACAAGAATGGACCAACAATAGAAACCAAAAGGTCAACAGGTTGGCTTTGGGCAAGTGATCCAACCAATGAGGCACAAAAAGCAAAGTGCGCAAAGCAAACTGCAGCCGGCACTTCGCCAAGGAGCTGCCGCCGATATACCATCAATCAAGGGTTGGTCAGGCCCCAACACAGCAAGCGACCAGGCCAAGTTCGCCAACCCACGGAGGTCGAAGCCGTAAACTTGCTCACGAGATGCATGGCACGCAGCGCGCAGAAACCTCCCGTGAGCTTGGCGTGCGGCCTTAACTGGACTCAGCCCTGGGTGAGCTTTTTTTTGGCCCGGGGGAAAGGTGATGGCCGTGCGCAACATTGGGCAAAGCAGGATGACGGGTAGGTGGGCTTTTGCTTAACTAAGGCTCTGACACGTTGGGCCCGCAGGTAACCAACGTCGGGCATGTGCCATGGCTGCGAAGGTAAACAACAAGGTAGACCCAAAGTCTACGTGAAAGTGCAGAAAAGAAAGCAACTGCTTGTTCATGCTGAGTGTGAGTTGCAACGACGACAGTACTGTGTAGGTTGACAAGCCCCTCGTCCCACGGGCCGTCACTCTTCCCGCTGCATTTGCTGCGGTGCAAGGGGTTTCAAGGGTTTTTGGAGTTGCTGGAGAGTTTCTGAGTTTCAGGATGGCACGGTGTTTGGATAGGGGTTCCCGAGCGTTTGCTGGATTGGCTTCCGGGTTGTTCTTGCATAGGGTACTGAGGAGATGGAGGGCTCTTGGGTTCAACAGCTCAGGGTTGGGGAGTAGGCAAAGGAGGCAGGCCTCCAAGCAAACATGCCGAGGCCAGTGCGTGGCCGGGCCTGGGCTGATGGCGAAGGCCTGCCAAGCTGCAAAGGCGTAGTAGCAACGGCTTCCAACATGCGCTCTGTCAGTCGCACCTGAGCGAAGGCGTTGATGTCAACCCGTCCAGCGTTCCTGGAGACCTGGCCGATTTCACGGTTTCACATGCGCAGCTCAAGCACAAACTAGGCTAGAATTAGGACCCCTGCAAAAATATAGATCTTTTTTGCCTGGATAGTGGGGAAACACAATAAAGCAAAAGAACAGAAAGGGGAGCTAATTGTGGGGAAGCCAAGAGGTGGAGGCATCAAAGCCGGCCTCGGCAAAGATTTGGTCACTCTCCTCCAGGCCCACCTGACTTGGTCCGCTCCAGCTGTTGTCCAGCCAGCTACAACGTACGCTTGTCAGCACAAAAAAGGAAAGCGCAGGGGTGTCTTCTCAAAAAGGAAACCAAGGGACCAAGGGAAAACCGCAACCTTTTTTGGGCTTCGCCCCAAAAAAAGAAAAACCAAAGAGTTGAGAGAGAGAGAGAGAGAGAGAGCAGCTTCGAGCCAAGCCTTGCAGTCGCAGGCCACCAATAGCCGGTAAAATTCCGTCTGGTCTAGGAAGCCGTTGCCTCAGCACTCACGGGCAAAGAGAACCGCCATAAAAAGCGATATGGGTGTGTCTCTTTGTAGGGAGCGGGAAGCCGCTAAAGCGAGCAATGTGCGTTGTGTCAGACAGAAAGGACGTTTTTAGATACGCAGTAGTTTCGGACATGCGATGCAAACACTCCAGAATCTATGATGCACTTTGTGGATTTGTCATTTGTTCTTGTCTCTTGTCAATTTAATGAACAACGACAGAGTAGGTGTGTGACCTCGAAACAATACGCTTTATGTGTTCTAGTTTGTTTTTCTTTCCAGACCCTGCGACCCCTCAGGCGCAGCCCTGGATGACTGGGACCCCAATATGTAGGCCAGGGTTTGAATCGCCTGTCATTGTTGTTTCCCTACTAGTCACGAACCCCGATTTGAAAAGTTTCACGATGCGTAGCTCTTTCTCCACCAACATTGCTGTTCATCATATCAGCTCATCATCATCTTTCAACAGCACATGAGACTGTGCTCATTCCATGCCTCTCATGCTGAGAAAGCCTCTAAACTGCAGAGCGGCGTGATAGAGCAGAAAACTCCTAGCAACTGCCTGCGCATCATCAATTCTGCTGGATTAGCATCGCATGTCTGAAATTACTGCGGTTCCAACACCACAGTGAACTAGGGGCCACTATAACGCCCCTTTCAGATGTTTAGGGGGCCCCCAAAACGGTGTTGCCCTTTTGGTTTCCCTCAAAAAACGGAAACACGGGGTACCCTTTCAAAAGCCACGCCCACATCGAACACAAAGAAAGCAGGCTTCGCTAATGATCATACATGAGCACATTTCATGAGTGAGAACAGGCATGAAAAGAAACAGCAACAACATCTAGCGCCAAGGGGAGACAAACGCCGACGACATCCCATGTAAGGTGTGCACTCGCCGCGCAACTCCAAAACGGGACCAAGCAATGCAGTAAGCTACAAAGCCAACTTGCGTACTCCGCAAGGCACCACTTGTCAGCAACATTCTGAGCACTGCTGCGGTTGGCGTCGAATATGGCGAAGGCATCTTGCACGCTGCAACCTGCATTGCGCAAATCTTATTGGCTCGCAATTGCCTGGACCATGTTCTTAGGGGAACTCTCGGTAGCTCCTGAACCACTCCCTATTTAAAAGCAAACTTGAATATCCGAGCCCAGCTCTGAGCCCGGCTCCCTTCCAACCAGGTACCCCCCCTCCCCAAACTAATATTGGTTCTATTTACAGAGGCCTGGAGGCTTCCATGTTTGTCTGAGTGAGTGCAGTAGTGGATTCCTGGATGCTAAGCTCATGCTGAGGTCGTTACCCCTGGCGTAAAGTGTTTGGGCCGCCTCCGCAATTCGCTGCTTCACTGCCTGGACTCACGCAGCATTTCAGCCCGCCCGGGTGCGCTTAGCATTCAGAAGTTCGGAGCACTTTGGCATGGCCGGTCTTTTCTTGGTCGGCACCCTCGTTTGGCGAAGGGGAAACCAAAAGGAAAACCATAATTTTGGGGAGCCCCCCAAAAGAAAAGACCATGCCCGCGTATGTTTCAGCTGGTCTCTGCAAGCTTAGTCCACGCATGTCCGTCCTGGTCCATGGCCATCTTCTGCTCGTGATTTCGAGACATGAAGCCCAGGCGCCTCTTGAAACCTGGCCGTGGGAATCTTTGGCAGGAGTCGCTTGGACCTGTATGGGACCATTGGACACCAATGCATTTTTGGCTGGTGCGGCTGTCCTTCAAAGTCAACGATGCCACACCCGCGTGGATCAAAGTAGCGGAAGAGAGCATCCAACCTTACAACGGCAGTTGCCCACAGCAATTCCAAGCATGGGCCCAGAAGCTGGCGCTTGCTGTTCTTAAGGCAGCAACTGCTGGCTGGTGAGCTCTGAATCAAACGTGTACGCCATGAGGCTAATCTCCTGATACCTCCGACCAAACAGTAGCATCTGATCATGGCCTTAAGTAGAACACACAGAATCCTTTGCCTGTTCCTCAGCCAAAAACATGCAACCCTGATCGAAGCCTCAGGTAGCCCGTGCCCGACGTATCGAGCTTCTGGAAGAGATCAAAGACTTCGATGCCCGCCTCCGGAGGTCAAACTCGCTTTATGGTGCAATTGCACATATGAAGCTATGTATGAAAATGTAACCATGCAAAGCAAAGAGACATCACAGCAAGGGAGCTTCGGCTACACTTTTTTAAGTAACAAGCGTTGTCGTGGCTGATGTTGGGAGGATGCAACATGTTGCCGTGACCAAACGCCTCAGCTTGTTGCACGCCTGTTTTGTCTTGCCTGCGCGATGTGAATGACAAGAAAAAACACATATACAACTACAAAGCATTGCCCAAAAACTACCCAGCCAGCCAAGGCTGTCTCAGGCGTACTTGAAGTCTGGGTAGAAGATGTAGGCACGACGACGCCGCATCTGCGGGCCTTCGATGTAGGTAGTGCCTGCATTGAACTTGGCCTGATCCCACTGGCACTTCTGCAGCTCATCCCACCACTTCATGCACTTCTTGGCAGCGACCTCGGGTTGAGTCTCATACTGGTAGACGTTCAAGCATCGAAACTCCTCAATTTGCAAATACTTGCAGGCATCCTTGGGGGCATCCTTGTGCACCTTCTCCGAGAAGTTGGCCACAGAAAGACGTATGTCATCAGCGGTTTTGGTGGTGGTGTGCTTCTCCGGGACGTACAAGCCATGATGATATGCCACGGCGCGCTCCCAGTTGGTTGAGAAACTGGGCTTGGGATTGCCATCAACCTTCATGTGAAAAGGAAGCTGGTGCTCATACGACTGATTCACCTGCTCTTCGGTCAGCTTCAACTGATTTGCAAAGTCAAATGTGTCCGGAAATGGGCCCATGGACTCATCATACCTTGGCATCGCATGGCAAAGGCGGGGGGAGTCAGCCGGGACATCTCAGTTGCCTCTGAGGGACCCAGAAATAATAAGGATAACCTTTTGGGGCCATGATCAAAAATAGACCAACAAGGGGGAACCAAAAGGTTAAAAGGGCAAGTGAGTATAAACATTAAGGGGCTGGACGTGTCACGCGTTGTGAAACCTTGCTGATTGTCAGGTAACACTTGTCGCGCTCGATTTGCATGCTCAACGCCAGCCATTTGCATTCAACCTATGAGCCTTGTGTGGCGAGGGCTTTGTGAATGCAAACCCCGGTGGCCAGTATGAAAAGTGTGATTACCATTATATTGACAGGCAGTGAGACAGTTCAGCTGAGATACTTCTTGTACTGTTTGAAGCCCATCTCCTTGTCCATCGTTGGAGTAATGGGCACTTGCTTCGTATGTTCGGGAAAGGCGGTTGGATGCGTTTTGGCCGATGGCTCCTCGCATCGTACCAGCCCGCTATTGCCCATGGCGTCAATAATCTGCAAACAAATCCTTGTAGCACCTGAAGTTTGAGCCTGACAATGGCCCCTGAAAGCAAAGCGATTGGGTAAATTGGGGGGCGTGCAAGCAATCGTGCTACCCGCACTTACATGAGCACTTATGTGACTGAAATAGGAAATGCACTACGTTTTGTCAGCGGCAAACCTTTTCGCCGCATCACAAGCGCACACAAGTTTCTTTGCGTCTCGCAGCTCATCAAAGTCAGGGCTGCAACACTGGCCGCACCAAAGAGGAGTCTCCGCCGGTGGCGGCACAGCTCTCCAGCACAGTCAGCGAGAACAAACTCCGCCACTGGGCCATGCCCTCAGGAGCCATGATGTTGCTATGTTCTGGGCTGGTGTCGATCCTGTTGATGCTATAATATCTGCCACGATTCGATGTCTGAAAAAATGACCTCCACAATGTTGGGACTCTGTTGCGCTGCGAGAGGCTGCTGAGTTCTCAAAAAGTGAGGTTGATTGCTAGGCCAGGATGGACGCGTTGGAGCGCAATGCAAATACATCCCGACAGTTGTCAAGCGCAACATTGTGTGAGATTCGGCAATTGGAGGCAAACACTCACTACCATTTCCCTACAGAGCTCCTGGTAGCTCTTTGGCTCCCTCTTTCAAGGCAGACTTGGATATCCCTATAGCTCCCAGTCCTCCCTTCCAACCACTAGCTAGCTCACATCTCTCCGAAAAACTCGACCCGACCCCTCTGTCGGCCATTGGCCTCCAGCACGGAGTTGCGGACCCTGTCCACCAGCACCTGCAAGGCCGCCTCCAGCTGGCAGAGAGACCTGCAGCTCGAAGGCGATGTCACTACGCGATGGATTGCGCAAAAAACCGGCGGCTTCACTGCCACGAGTTGGCGATTGGCCACTTGAGTTGGTCGCAGCTGTGGCTTCCTAAGAGTTGGTGACTGGCCAATGAGTTGTAGCGAGTCACGGCAGTGGCTCTAGTGGCTTCGTGCTGGTGGACCCTTTGATGACCCCTGCATCCCAGAGCTGCCTGAGACTCTCCGCAGAGGAAACCGCTGTGCGCTCGTCGAATCCCAGTGCTGCACAAAACTCCGACATCTCAATATAGCCTTTCAGGGCATGAGGTGCTCACACAAGCAACACGTTCTGAGCGAACAAAACCTCAAACCCTTTTTCTGAAGAGTCTGCGAGGAAAAAAAAAAAAAACATGCGGCAGAACTCAAATGGGCTGAAGCCAGGGGAACGCCTTTTCCTCGCATTTGCCCAGCCTGACCGGTTGCGACAAACCGTTTGGAACAAGTCCCGAAGCTCGTCTTGCGTCAACTCAGGCCTCGGCAACACTTTCTGAAAGCAACTTGTCTGCCGTGGTCAGCAGCGCACCCCACGTCTCTCCAATGCTCAAAGCTCATGAAACATACGTGCAAAAGCACAATACAGCTGCAATTTGTATGCCATACCAACACTTATGCAATCTCGTGCGAGGATGTATGCATAGAATTATGTGATTGTCTCTACGTCAAAGTGACTAGGCACACTGCATACACTGCAACTTGCAAAAGTTCGCCAAACAAACTGTGAAGGCATACAACCGACTGCAGCGCATGTTGCAAAAACGAAAGCAACTGGGAGATGTCACTCTTTCTTTGCGGGTACGTACTTCTGTGGTGGCTGGTTTTACACAAAGAGAAAACCCACTTTGAACCAAAGGGAAACCAAAGGGCAACCAAAAGGAAACCAAAGGGAAACCAAAGCGAAACCAAAGAAAAACCAAAGGGACACCAAAGTGAAACAAAAGGAAAACCCAAGGGAAACCAAAGTGAAACCAAAGGGAAACTAAAGGAAAACCGAAGGGAAACCAAAGTGAAACTAAAGTGAAACCAAAGGAAAACCGAAGGAAAGCCAGAGGGAAACCAAAGAAAAACCAAAGGGAAACCAAAGGGAAACAAAAGTGAAACGAAAGAGACACCCAAGGGAAACGAAAGAGAAACCCAAGGGAAACCAAAGTGACACCAAAGCAAAGGGAAACCAAAGAGACACCAAAGAGGAACCAAAGAGAAACCGAATTGAAACGAAAGTCAAAGCAAAGGGAAACCAAAGGAAAACCAAAGGGAAACCAAAGGGAACCCCGAGGGAAACCAAAGTGAAACAAAAGGGAAACCAAAGGGAAACCAAAGGGACACCAAAGAGAAATTAGCGGGAAACCAAAGGGAAATTAAAGGGAACCCAAAGTAAAACCAAACGAAAACCAAAGGGAAGCCAAAGATACCAAAGGGAAACCAAAGAGAACCCAAAGTGAAACCAATGCGAAACCAAAGAGAAACCCAAGGGAAACCAAAGTGAAAATAGAGAAACCAAAGGGACACCCAAGGGAAACCAAAGTGAAACCCAAGGGAAACCAAAGAAAAACCCAAGGGAAACCAAAGGGAAACCCAAGCGAAACGAAAGTGAAACCAAGGAGAAACCCAAGAGAAACCAAAGTGAAACGAAAGAGACACCCATGCAAAACCAAAGTGAAACAAAAGAGAAACCCATGGAAAACTAAAGTGAAACCAAAGGGAAACCCAAGGGAAACCAAGGGGAAACCCAAGGGAAACGAAAGTGAAACCAAACAGAAACCCAAGGGAAACCAACGTGAAACCAACGTGAAACCAAAGAGAAACCCAAGCGAAACCAAAGAGAAACCCAAGGAAAACCTAAGGGAAACGAAAGTGAAACCAAAGAGAAACCCAAAGTGACACCAAAGACAAACCTAAGGGAAACCAAAGTGAAACTAAAGTGAAACCAAACAGAAACGAAAGGGAAACCCAAGGGAAACGAAAGTAAACCAAAGAGAAACCCAAGGGAAACCACAGGGAAACCAAAGTGAACCCAAGGGAAAACCAAAGGGAAACGCAAGAGAAACCCAAGGGAAACCAAAGGGAAACCAAAGTGAAACCCAAGGGAAACCAAAGGGAAACCAAAGTGAAACCAAAGAGAAACCAAAGAGAAACCCAAGGGAAACCAAAGAGAAACCCAAGGGAAACCAAAGGCAAACTATAGTGACACCCAAGAGAAACCCAAGGGAAACCAAAGGCAAACCCAAGCGAAACGAAAGTGAAACCAAGGAGAAACCCAAGAGAAACCAAAGTGAAACGAAAGAGACACCCATGCAAAACCAAAGTGAAACGAAAGAGAAGCCCAAGGAAAACTAAAGTGAAATCAAAGGGAAAGGGAAAATCAAGGGAAATCAAAAAGAAACGAAAGGGAAACCCAAGCGAAACGAAAGTGAAACCAAGGAGAAACCAAAGAGAAACCAAAGTGAAACGTAAGAGACACCCATGCAAAACCAAAGTGAAACGAAAGAGAAGCCCAAGGAAAACTAAAGTGAAACCAAAGTGAAACTAAAGTGAAACCAAACAGAAACGAAAGGGAAACCCAAGGGAAACGAAAGTAAACCAAAGAGAAACCCAAGGGAAACCACAGGACCCAAGGGAAAACCAAAGGGAAACGAAAGAGAAACCCAAGGGTAACCAAAGGGAAACCAAAGTGAAACCCAAGGGAAACCAAAGGGAAACCAAAGTGAAACCAAAGAGAAACCAAAGAGAAACCCAAGGGAAACCAAAGAGAAACCCAAGGGAAACCAAAGGCAAACTATAGTGACACCCAAGAGAAACCCAAGGGAAACCAAAGGCAAACCCAAGCGAAACGAAAGTGAAACCAAGGAGAAACCCAAGAGAAACCAAAGTGAAACGAAAGAGACACCCATGCAAAACCAAAGTGAAACGAAAGAGAAGCCCAAGGAAAACTAAAGTGAAACCAAAGGGAAACCCAAGAAAAACCCAAGGGAAACCAAAGGGAAACCCAAGCGAAACGAAAGTGAAACCAAGGAGAAACCCAAGAGACACCAAAGTGAAACGAAAGAGACACCCATGCAAAACCAAAGTGAAACGAAAGAGAAGCCCAAGGAAAACTAAAGTGAAACCAAAGGGAAACCCAAGGGAAACCAAAAAGAAACCAAAGAGAAACCAAAGGGAAACCCAAGGGAAACCCAAGGGAAACCAAAGAGAAACCCAAGGGAAACCAAAGGGAAACCAAAGTGAAACCAAAGAGAAACCAAAGAGAAACCCAAGGGAAACCAAAGAGAAACCCAAGGGAAACCAAAGGCAAACTATAGTGACACCCAAGAGAAACCCAAGGGAAACCAAAGTGAAACCAAAGGGAAATCAAAGGAAAACCAAAGGGAAACCAAAGTGAAACCAAAGGAAAACCACAGGGAAACCAATTTGAAACCAAAGGGAAACCAAAGGGAAACCAAAGAGAAACCAAAGGGAAACAAAAGGGAAACCAAAGTGAAACCAAAGTGAAACCAAGGGAAACCAAAGTGAAACCAAGGGAAACCAATCTGAATCCCAAGGAAAACCAAAGTGAAACCAAAAGAAACCAAGAGAAACCTCAGGGAAACCTCAGGGAAACCAAAAAGAAACCAAGAGAAACTAAAGGAAAACCAAAGGAAAACCAGGCAGAAACCAGGCAAAAACCAGGCAAAAACCAAAGAGAAACCCAAGAAACACCAAAGTGAAACCAACGTGAAACCCAAGGGAAACTAAAGGAAAACCAAAGTGAAACCACGTTTTGCGGGTCCGATGTGGAGGCCGAGGGGCCAAAAGGTCTGCGCCATCACGCTGAGGTCCTGGGCGGATAGGTGTCCGGAACCTGCGCGGGGGGGCTTCGTGGCGAATGGGCCATGCGGCCGCCTGGCTTATGCTTGTATGAGTTGGTACCCCCTGTTTGGTAGTCTTATGCTTTTTGGAGGAAGAACCTCGTGTTTGGTTGAAATGGGAAACAAAGAGGAACACCACAATTTGCTGTTGTTGTTTGTTTTGGCTTTGGGGGGCCTAAAAAACACACCTACAATAACGGAACTGCTTTGGACTGCTTGACAGTGTCGGTTGTGCGAGCAAGCGGTGCATTTTGTTCGCCAGCCAACGGCTCTCCGCTCTCTCCCCTGCTTCTCTTTGACGCACGAAAGTCCTGCCGTGCATCTGCAATTCTGCAATTGCTGAAGCAGTAATTGGCCGTGGCTCAAACAATGGCACCCAAAATGGCACCTTGATACCCTCCCACCGACTAACATGAAAGTGCACAAACCCCTGTAGAAAAACTACTTTTTCTTGAGACTTCCATATTAGTTGGTGGGAGTGTAAACGAAAACCAAAGACCAAAACCTGCGGTTTGCCCTAGCTCTGAAATTTTGACACCCAACTCCCACGGCTTCATCTCACGTCCTGAGATAAGTGCGTGCAGGTAAGGCTCAAAGCGAAAATGGCTTCGTGATCCTGTTGAGCTGCAATCCGCAGGGCCTCCTGCAGCGTTCACAGGCACTGGAAAGAAGCTCACGGCCCGTCTGCGTGGGCAATCGCAACTTTTGCAAGGATTTCTCAATGCAACTGGCTGTGGCTCAAAACTAAACAGGAGGGGCAAACTGCGGGTTTTGGTCCATGCTTCCACTTACCAAGGTTCCATTTTGGTACCGGTTTTTGAGCCACAGCCATCTGACAAAAACGCCAGGGCAACTTGTATATTATGAACTACCTTCTCGAACTCCTGGCAGCTCCTGAACCACTCCCTCTTTACTAGGCTGGAATTAGGACCCCAGCAAAAATATATCTTGTTTGCCTGGTTAGTGGAAAACAAAGGGACCCCAAAAAGCAAAAAACCACAAAAAGGGGAGCTAATTCTGGGGAAGTTTAAAGGCACATCTGGAGACCCCTAGCTCCCTTCGTCCGGCTCCAATGCAACCATCCAGCCCATGCCACTTGCTCCTCTTCGGGGCCCTCAGGCAGTGGGGTGAAACGGAGGCCAACAGCCTGCGATGCTTCAGCTCAGTTGCCCCACCTATCGCCAAAAAAGGGAAACCAAACAAATCGCTTTGCTTTCGTGAGTTCAGATCCGCACATTCTCTCACAATGACTCTGGGCCTCACAAAGAATTCTCAAGCCAGCGTTCTCAAAGGCGCGTCGGGCCACACATCGCTGCACCTGCGTCGATGTAGGCAGTTTCCATTTGTCATGGGGGGAGACCAAACAAGCCCTGATTAAGCCCTTAATAGGGCCGTAGGGCTTATCTGAGCTCCCTTCACCCCCTCTCCCTCCCCCCGGCCCCATGAATGTGCCTGGCAGTGGGTAACCTTCATGAGAAAGCTGCAACACATGCTGACAGCAACGCGACACCAATATCATCTTGACAGGCGCAGCACCCTGAGTTCCGCACAAGCTCACGGAAGGAATAGTTGTCACCCATGAGAGGATCCTCCCCACTCTGATCTCTGTCCGCATGCAACAGCTGGACATGCCTGAAATTGGGTTGCTCAAAATCAGGGTGGGGTTCCCTAATCCTAACTCGTGGAGTGACTCCACAACGATGGTTCTAGTAGACATCAAAACCACTCGAACATAGGTGAAGGCTCCCGAATACCGATAAATCGCTCAAATGCCCAAAGCGCTGGCTCCTGTGCATCAGCCCCTTCGAGTGCCAGCTCGAAGTCATCCAAGGCCCGCAATAATGGAAGATTCTGGGCCTGACGTGAAATGGGGGGGGGTCTTTTTTTGAGGGCACCCGTTTTCGTGGCTGAAAGGGAAACCAAAAGCACAACCACATTTGTTTGTTTTTCTGGGGGGGGGGGGTCAAAAAGATTCAAATTGCAACAGCGCCACAAATAGGTGATGTATGAAACGCGCTGGATCATACTGCCACTGGGACCGGGTCCGAAATGGTTGAGACAGTTTTTCTCACACGGCCAAGCTCCAAATACCATGTAATGTTGACGTCAACACAATTGGCCCATATCTTACCAATCGGCTTGCCTACGAAGCAACATTCCCAAGCTTGCACCGCAATTTCTGTGAGCAACTCGTTCCGAGATTTGGGGACATGCAAAGGATGAACAGCGCGGAGAAGCGTGGCTCTGGCTTCCTATTTGCTTCGAACAGTAGTCAGCTACTCTCTAATTGGTTTCTCATTTGCCCTCAAGGTTCAGACCTTCTAAACCAATGAACCCACCAACAAGGGCAACATGGCCGAATGGCGGCCAACCAACGCAACGTGCCCAATGCAATCAAGCGCAAAACACACAATTACGCAGCAGTGACGCAAGGGGCGCAAAATAATGACAGCGCTCACGAGACTTAAAGCACACTGGCGAAGTCTAAGGGCTAAATAAAGGCTTGCCTCCAAGATCCTCCAAGGCAAAGCTCAGAAGAGGATGTAAAGCATACATAATCAAAGTGCAAGTGCAAGAGGCTCCCGCAAAACAAGGCGACAAGCAGTGAAACAAAGCAAAGCAACGCATAACGCGTGCCGCGAAAACCGCGAGCAGCTAGTGGTTTCATTCATCCCAACCCCCGCCTCCCCTCGCCAGAATCTGGTGAAACGCGAGCCGAACATGGGGTCGAGCCCGCCTCTAAAAGCATCTCAGCGTGACACCTGGATCCTCGCCCTTGCGGTGCGAAAGCTTCAGCATGAGTGTCCTGCACCGATGCTAAGACCCCAAGTGAATTTCCAGGACCAGGTCTGTGCCCCCGAGGCAAAGCAATGCGGCCGCCGGCCCATGTGGAAATTCAATCCATGTGCACCTGGACCCTCAAATTACCCTTAAACATAGGTTGTTGCCCTACAATTATAGGGTATTAACTTATAACCCATTTTCAACGGCAGCCAGAGGGTCCAGGTATGCTCTTTCTAACCAACTGGTGGGCTTTGCAGCTTGCGAGCACTGAAAACAGCGGGGCGCATCCTCACAAAGGTGCCAGAGCACCCGCGCTGCTCCCCGAATGTCTGCATTGCAAAAGACCTCCTCCCAGCCGGTGGATGTGCTGCAAAGGCCTCACAACGTGTGCGGTTACAGGCAATCACGCACAAGCAAAGTGAGCTGTTGCAAATAATTTCTTTGCAAGACGCAGCTCCACCCACCGCTGAACAACCCCAAGCACAATTGCAATTGCAGGCATTTTTTTGTTTCCCCCAAAGGCTGCCTGCCTCCGACCGTGAAACAATCGTCAACTCAGTTGCCCCTTAGGGACCCAGAAGCACAAGGTGACGAACTTTTGGGTTGCCATTACAAAAAATGGGAACACATTTCAGGCCATAACCAAAAATGGGAACCCATGGAAACCAAAAGGTCAACGTGTAATGTAGACAAACCTTTCGGTGTCCCAGGTGGCCTTGCGCCATGTCATCCATGGAAGCGGCAAGGAAGGCCCCAAATCCTCAGCATGCTAGCGTCACGCACCAATACGCGCCACAAAAGCACACACATCCAGCCGGTGGATCCATTCACCAAACCAAGGGAACCACCCTTCAAAAACCAGAAGCCCAGCCAGTGAATTCATTTCTACCTGGTAGAGGTACGTAGCCAAGGGCTGCCACCCAATTAAAAAACCAAAAGGAATAGCGAAGGGGCACCTAGTCTATGGGCGAAAGGCCTGGGATTCACTGGGCCAGTCAGCATGTCCCCTTGCCGAGCTTCTGTGCAAGATCAAGCGGAAGGCTTGCAGCTTGCGGGGCGTCTGTGGCGGAGCCACCAGAATAAGCCTGGTAGTTGCTTAGGCACGTGGGAGGCATTCGACAACAGAGCTAAACGATATGCAAGCAGAAAGCGCTGCTTGCTCTGCCAAGGTGCATGGTGTTTGTAATCCTTGGTGACACGCGAAGCAAACTTGAATCAACGTTTCCGGACTTCAAGCATGCGCAGCACCAGCCACATTTGAACATGACAACCCACCGGGTCAACCGGTATTCTGGCGTACCTCGGGAACCAACCCGCCCAGCCTGGCCAGTATTCAAAACAACCGGAGCTGGAAAACATCCGGCGGAGGTTACATGTGCAAAGTCAAGCAGGTAAACCGTAATACCTCCGACACTCTGCTTGGGCCATCCCCCATGTATGTATCGATTTGTAGGCGTCGCAGCTGAACATTTCGAAGCCTTGGATCCAAACCTCCCTGCCAGCAAGTTTCTGCTGCGGCGTCAACGGACATGCAGAACCTGCGCTTAATCTCGGCACTACGAACTTGGCAAAGTTCTCCCTCTGCAGGAAGAACTCTGTGCGGGCAGCGTAGTGGAGGATCCTGAAACCCAGTCAGAGGCCCCAATGCCTTCGGCTTCTCGTGTGGCAGCCCTTCGAAGCCGGCAAAAGGGGGGGTAACCTCAACAAAGACCCACCCAAAACTTGCAGGATTGACTCAGCCGAGCTTCGACCGGGCTCGGCCCTGAAGCGGCTCGATAAACAAGGACACGACGCCCTGGTAGCCGACACGCTCATTTGGTCGAAAAAGAGCCAGTGTGCGCAAAACAAGGTCAACACCACCAAATCGAAGAGCTTTCCTTGGCGGCGCTTTGCTGAGGGACTGCGAAGAAATCCGACATCCAAGCACACCCAGGAGAAAGCCAAGCAAGAACACGCCTGCGTGCCAAGCTTCTCGCCAAAGTAATCCCTGTGGCCGGGATTGTCCAAATCAGTCTGATTCTGGTAGAGAACTGCAAAGTCATTCCAAAGATCCTGGCGATCTGGGGTGTCCTTTTTCCCCTCTTTCGAGTTTTGGCAATCAAAGGAAAGCCACCCCTCTTAGAGGTATCCAAAACAAAAACACACACTTCAACCCCCAAGGGAGGGTGCTAATCTTTCGAGTACAACTGATGAGTCTCGAGTGCAACTG